GATAAGGGTAAGCGGATAGATATTGGCTGCTCGAAGAAGCAGCGCCATCCTCCTGTACACCACCCATCAGGCCCCTTGCCATCAGTCATTATCAGGGAGCCCCACGATTCTACTTGTGCCTATTATGATTACGAGGCTCCACATTCTCAGTACGTGTCGCGACCTCCTCAGTTCATGCCTACTCCCGGATACGTGCTTATTCCATCTACTGCTAAAGGACCTACTTCACCAGCATCTGCCTACAGTGCGGCTACCTCTATTAATAGTACTGCTCCTTCAGTTCTCGTACCAGATTCTTCTCCGTCCGACCTTGCTCGAGTCGGATCATTTGGCACATGTTGTAGCAGTTTTGGAAATACGTTGATTAGGCCCGTTGGTGACGTCAGGTAAGTATTATTCAAAAACTTTTAATAAATATTTCTTAATGCATCAAATATCAGTATTATTTTTATAATTTTTTGCTGTTACAGATTTCATCATTCGACAGCTGCTGCTCATGCCATCACAGCGGTCATTCGATCGAAGTTCACGTCGTGTTATCCTACATGGAGGACAGTTCCTCGTGATTTGTGGTTTGATGAATTCTGGGTTCGTATATCAATTCAGTCATGGTTAAATATTTTTTTATCTTTAATATTAATTGATATTTTATTAACTGTTTATTTCTGTCTTCATGCAGAAATATTGTACATGGGATCCACGAGACAAGCCAGCCATTAGACGGATATTCAGTACTCGTGGATCTCATAGGCTATCTGATATGCTTCAAGATGCTCGGATTAGAGGCAGACCAGACTGGATCCCGTCTTCTGTGTGGGAGGAGTTTCAGACTTATTGGAGAGGATAGAGGTTTAGTAGGGTAAGCTCCTAGAATAAAGAGAACCGTAGTTTGGAAAAAAGCGGTTCTCTCTACACAGGAGGCTCTATTTCGCTATACGAGCATGCTATAAGAATGGTAAGTTTTATTTCTGTACATAAGTTTTATTTTTATCTGATAGTTATAAATAATCACAAAATTTTTATTATGTATTATTGCAGGAAGAAGAAACCGGGAGGACTCCCCATTTTTTTGAGGTTTTTAAGTATACGCATGTTAGGAAGAAAGATGGTGAGGAAATGTGGGTGGACCAGCGATCGGAGAAGACTTATGTAAATAAATTTTATTTAGCATCTTTATTAAATTTATGTAAGCATACTTATATTATTTATTAACTTTTTATAATTAACATCTTTAATTATTAAACTTATTTTATGATATACTTTGTGTATGTAGGCTAACTTCCAAACTGCGCAGTCTTCCCAGTCAACACCTAAGGAGACGTTTACTCCAGAATCTCAGCGGATTGCAAACACTCAGCTGTAGGAGAAGTGCGTTAGGGGGAGAGCTTTCGGCCATGTATACGGTCATGGACAGCAGAGTTCTTCTTAGTTAGTCCACTATCCTCCATCCGACAGTGCGGATCAGTCCGTGAGATCGGAGGTGCAGACTTTCTGTCAGGAGAATCAGGAGTTTCGGGGGAAGGTGGGGAGCATGGAGCTTACCCTTCAACACCTGATTAAGGTGGTTGAAGGGATGAGGAGCACACCACCTGATCAGTTATACCCTCCAGCACCTGCTCACGATTCTAACTCTTCTGCATCTTAGTCGGGCGATGGCGGCTGTCAGGAGTAATCTTTTTTTAAGATTTTGTTTCATAAATATGTTTAGTGATACACTATTTTATGTTTGTAATAAGATATTTTACTATTATTTATACACATGTTATTTCAGTTTTATATAAATGTCTTAAATAAATTATCATAAAATATATATTTCAAATATTTTTAAAATTAATATTAAAAATTAAATAATTAATAATAAAAAATAATTTAATAATTAATAATAAAATAATTTAATATTTAATAATTAAGAAAAAATAAAAATTTTATTTCTTTTCGATGCATCGTTGCGTCGGTAATTTTCGACGTGACCGATGCGTCGGTATTTTCTGACGCAATCATTGCGTCTGTAATTTTTGACACATTCTACAACCCAAAATTTGTCAAAAATTTCCGACGCAAAATTTTTTGCATCGGTAAATTTTTTCCAATGGCAATTTTTTCAACAAATGGTTTTGCATCGGTTTTTGCGTCGGTAATGCTATTACCGACACAAATTTCTGCCTTACCGACCCTTTTTTTTCGTCGGTAATTTACATATTTCTTGTAGTGCAATAGCCACTTCCCCACGCCGTTTGCCACCCCCTTCATCCTTTCTCTTGAAGCTTTCAGCACCACATCGCCCCTCCCCCTCGTCTACATTACCGAGTGCAACAGATCATCAAACATATACCTGAACGCCGTGTATTCTAACGGCACCGTTCACTCTTTGAGGAGATCCATGCTCTGTGTCTCAAACCAAGATCAAGTGCTCCGGGTGGGTGAACAACAATCCAATGGTCAGATTTCCATGAAGGACAGGCCCAGAACAAATATATATAATATTAAATAAAAATAATAAAATAGTTTGCTGCAATGTCGCTAGAAATTTTTGACGGAAATTCGGCCGGAAAGTCTGTCAGAAATTTTCGACAAAATTTTCAAGAAATTCTGTCAAAAAATTTCGACAAAATTTTCACCAGAAATTCTGTCAGAAAATTTCGTCGTCGGACAAACTTCATTTCCAACAGAGTTTTTTTTACTGACAAAATTGTTCTGTCGAAAATTTCTGACGAAAAGCCTTTTCTATCAGAAATCATTTTCGACAATTATTTTTTCAACGGTAATCTCTCCGTCAAAAATTTCGTTAGAAATGTTCATTTCTAATAAAAATATTGCCTTTTTCGACAGAATTTGTCTATCGAAAATAACCTATTTTCTTGTAGTGTGGCTTGAGCTGATCCTAACCAAGCTTGCTGGGGCAGTTAAGTGGCTTTGTGATGGATGGGTGGGTGGTTGTATAGTTGATTTGATTTTCTGGTCCCACTTTTGGTTAGAAAACTAACCTAAGCAACAAAGCCCTAAAACCCTTCTTTCCTTTTGCCCCCTCTGAATTCTTAATCATTGTGGTGTTTCTTTCCCTCAACTATCTGAATCTCTTGCCATTGCCCTCCATCAAAATTTGTCACTTTATTTCTCTGTGGCCAACCACCACAAAGTTTCCCGGCACCACAATTGAATTCTGCAACTCAATACCTGCATGTTTACCCATTCCTGACATCTTTTGATATTATTTTTGATTTTTTTATTTAAATTTTTTCAAGTTCTAGTCACTGCACTGGTCAGATATTCCCAGGCATGCTTTCAAATGTGTCATATTAGTAGAACTGGGTTGTCCTAGCTCATTCCAGGGACTATGCAGTTTATACTTTGTATCCATAAAAATCCGTTACTATATTGCATTTGATTCTAAGTTCTTGAATTGAATTTTGATTGGTTTATAAATATGACATTTGAGTAGATATTAAGGTTTTCTGTTCACTTCTGAATTATGGTGCCAAGGATAGATTACTAGGAATTAGCAGTGATGTTATCTTGTCTTTTGTTTTTTGTAGTTCTCGGACGTATGGGTTATATTTGTAGAGTATGCTAGACCTAGAACATAACCTCCACCTCAAAACAATGTGAGACCGCCACCTCTAGCATATGGGTACAGATTCGAATGATTGTCAGTAATTCCATATTATAGGTACAATCTATGTCATTTCTCAAGGCATCACATTTTTAGGAAAGCAATAGCTTCTTACAACATAGTTATCCTTTTCAGTAGGTCAGGAGTTTTGTTCAGATTATTTGATAATCTTTTATTTATAACAAAATTGTGCGTTGAGAAGATATATAGCTATATGAACTCAATAGAAGTTGAGAACTGCATGAACTCAAACTGGTGCCCCTTTGAAGTAGGCTTTTGAATTATTTGGGAATGTTCATCCCCGATTTTTCACTTTGTACTAATGCAAATGTGACGTTACTATTGGAGCTTTCTAGTTGTGTATGTAGTAGTTTTGTTCAACTACATATTTGGAAGGTCTTTCGTTTTACTTTAAATCCACCCATCCTAATCTTACAATGAATGTTTAATTGTGGGCACGCAGGTTAACGTGGGTGTGGGTTGGACTCTTGTTATTAAATATATCTCAATCATCATGGCTATATATATATATATATATATATCCATGAATGATCGAGATATTTGAATATCAATCTCATTGATATCATTGATCTCATAGGTATCATACTAAGTCCTGTAAATTGTATTATTCTTTTGAGAAATTCGAGATATTTAAATCATGCAAATAAGGAGTCTATTCATTAATAAGAAAAAGAAAAAAAAGAAAAAATGTGAATGAGTATTAGATTGATGATAAAATAAAATCCTGGGTTATGTGTGTAGCCCTAGATGATTGAGATATTTAAATATCAATGTTATTAATATCATCGATCTCATAAGCATCATACTAAATCCTATCAATTGAATTATTTTTTTGAAAAATGCGAGATATTTAAGTTATACAAGTGAAGCGATCTACTTATTAATTCAAAAAAAAAAAAGAAAAGAAAACATGAATAGTGATTGGATTGGTTATAAAATAGATATTTGGATCACAAATAGTAATTTGATTGACGGTGAAGAAAGAGAATTCTTGGTTTTGTTCTCTACTTTGATGACAAAAAGAGGAATTAATCAAATTCTATTAAGTCTTATTCACAGTAATTATTTATCAAAAACTAATTATGATTTTCCGATGATTGAACAATTGTGAGCAATTTGTTTGCGACTACTTAAAATATAACTGAATAATTGACCCGTTAAAAATCTACAAAAGCAACCACAAATATTGCTATTACACACCTTCATAACTTGTACAGTATTACATTGATTCTAAGAAAGCAGATTCTTATATATTCTAGGGATAGAAACTTTCACATTCAAATTTTGTTACAAGCACAATTATCACCTCTAAGTGCAGGTAGACGCACGTTGGTGCATACATGATATATACATGCATATATTCTCATTCTTATATTGGTAAAGGCTTGTCAAAAACTAAAGTGGCGAAATCTTTAAGGCTTCCTTGAGAGTGAGTATATCGATCTTCACCTTTGTACACAACATCTAAAAAACGCGTAAAGTTGAGAATCCGCATGAGGATTGGGGTGGAGATTGTTGTTGGGCGATGCAAGAACTCTGCGTTTATGTCTTTCCATGCATTTGTAATCAGCTTTTGCAGTTCCACGAGAGCCTCTTCCTCTGATGCCCCGTGTTCGTTCATGTAAACTTCAACGGCCGAAGGTGGATGCCCTCTCTCTTGCTCGAACTGTCATTTATCCACAAACATTGGGCTAAGTTTTTACCTAATGGGTAATATTGTGAGATTATTCAATTGGACTTAGTTTTTTTTTCCCCTCTTTTTGGGATAAAATCGAAATAGATATATTAGTTCTTTACTATTTGAAATCCCACTGAACTGTAAAAACCAAATAAAGGAGTTCGGCTCGGTTTAATTTGAATTTTTGATGTTATTGGCAATGGAAAACCAACGAGTAAATTCCTTCCACTGATTATAAAGATATACCTTGTGCGCGACTATGTCATTCATAACCCTAGCAATCAGAGACGAAGCTCTAACGATCAATGGATCGCTGCACACCCAATCGAAGGTCTCTTTGGTAACGATTTCTCCCATGCCGACGTAAGAAACAGTTGCAAGCATTTTGTAGCAACTTGTCACTAGTGCAACTCTCATGTACTCTTCCATAGTTGGAACTCGGCCTTCATGGAACCATTTAGCTTCTTCAAGGTATGCTTTTACTAGATCTTTAATCTGTGGGATTTAAACAATGTGGATTAATATTAATCTAAGCAAATTTTACTTATAATCTTATTTTAATAACAATTTTGACAAATGGGCTTACAACAAATTTTGCATAGTCTGCACGGTAAGATCTTCCTTCCAAGGCCAGTTCTTTCTCAACCACGCTGAAAAGGTTCAAATATGCTTGAAACGGTGGCTTCATGTACTCCGGAAGTTGATCCGAGGCACTCATTTCCCACCTAAATAATTAAAATCGAGTACCTTGTGTAAATATACAAGTACTGTTTTTCTCTTGCATAAATTTTAGAATTTCATGATAAATTATTGAGTCAAAACCTCTGAAATGCTTCGGTTAAGAGAGTAATTTCTTCCAAGGTCCCATGGACGTCATAGATGTCATCTAACAGGGAGGTCAAGGAAGTCACAGAGCTAAGTATCATCCTTGCGAAGCAATATTTTGGCTCAAAGTAGACTGCCCATATCCAGAAGTAGCACTCCACAAGCCTGTCGCGTGCAAAAGGCAGCTTCTCTGCAATTTTTAAATCCTCCCACCACCTAAAATATGGATCAAAAAATAGAATAAATATGTAAAGTATTTAAGAGAGAAAGTACATGTAAATGAACTGGATCTTACATTGTGAGTTCTCTTAATTCTCTTTGATGCATTTTCTGCAACAGGTTGAAGTCTAACTTTGCCAAGGAGAGCAAAACTTTGTCGTGCGAGTCTTCTGCTTCATAGAAGGATATGTAAAACCTTGCCTCTAACCTTGGTACGCCCCTTCGAATAGTTTGGTTAAGGGCATGGCGTACCTGAGCTGCACGACGACTGCTTAAATTGGGCAGCATAGATCGAAGGTGGGAGGTGGTAAAGTCCACTGCTTCATCCAATATTTTTTCTCCACGTATCCCTAGATGGGCAGCTTCATACAGGCTTAACATTCCTCGTACATCACCAATTAAGGATTCCTTAAAGTTTCCATCGCCATCCTTAAACCTTTCAAACACATCTGCTTAAAGCAACAAGATGAGTTAGAAAGGAAAAAAGGCTCATAAATAGGATGCACATGAATTAGAGTACATGTGTAAAGGCTTTTTCTTTCATGGCTTTCTTCTTTATTTTCCTTCTGGTGTTCTTTGAATATATACAAAAAGGTCTAATATTTGAGAAAATGACCATAAAAAGGACGCCCTTGATTAGGGTTCATGGAATCTGGTTGGTCTGTGATATTTTAAATCAAATGTTTCATACTTTCACTTAGAAAAAGTCATATTTTAAGTTTTACTTTGTTTGTTTGTTTAAGATGAGATAAAGCGTCCTCTGAACAAGATAGAGTGTACTTGACGGACCCGAAGAGATTGGATATCTTTGTTGTCTGAGTAACCTAAACCAGAGAGAGACAGTGTATAGATCACCACCTTCTTTGTCATCATCAAGCTCTTGCCACTCCTCATATATACGTTGCAGTGCAGCCTCAATCTCAGTCTCGAAGTGGTAAGATAAGCCGAGGCGCTCCACTGCATCAATTAATTTCAATTTTTCCGAAGGCTTGTCAGCTTCAGCTTGTAGAATTTTCCCAACTTGTTCTCTCAGTTGCTCAAATTTGTCCTCCATGCCGACTTCAGTTTCCTGCACAAAGTAGTTTAATTAGTAAGTACAATCACATTTTCATGTTCACATGCTTTTGTGTGGACTTGACAGAATAACATATGGAAGGACCTTATTGAAAAAATTCCAAAAGAGGAAGCCCGTAATTGAGTATATGGAAAAACATGGGAACCAAAGTGGCAATAAATAGTTCCATTTTTACCTGGGCTTCAGAAGTATGCGTGAGGAAATGCTTTCCCCAAACCGTAGGATGGAAGTTGGCAGTGCGACGAGAAACCTCAGCTTGCGAAGCTTTTTCCATCTTTTCTTTGTTTCGAAAATGAGAAAGAAAGAGTTTTCTAGATTGCTAAGTGTAGCAAGGCCTTTCTTCTTCACTCCTAAGGTTGATATTTGAGGAAGAGTTTGCGTGCTATTTATAGGAGAATTTCATAGGTATTTAATTTGGGAGATGAAGCACATGTAACCCATGCAAACTATTGCATGATAAACAGAACGGATTCGTGTTTGGATTTGAATTGGATAAGAGCTAGTCAGATTATTATAGTCATTTTATTCCAACACTCACCACCAGGTTGATTGGAGGATAATGGGTTGGTGATTGCATTATTAACAGACACGATTAGTATTTGGAATTGAATTAGGTGAAAGCTAGTTAAATTATTATAGTCATTTTATATGGGAATGGGGCAGCTTTCTCACAGAATTCCTGGTTTTGTCAATTGTTCAAATTGCATTGTTAATACCCAACTTTCATAATTTCAGGGACTCACGACTCAGGTCGGTCGGAGGATAAGGGATTGGAAATTGCACTGTTAATACCCAACGTTCTGCAAACATGTTAATTTGTAATTTGTCTTGTTGAGATATAAGATTTGGAAAAGTATATTTATATCTCATTAGTGAAAAGTTAACATAATTACAAGAAGAGATAAAAAAATTATCATAATTCTACGTATACTTATAAATATATGTGTAATATAAATATTTGTTAAAAAAATTAAATATTATAATATTATAATTATTATCTCTTATAAATAGAGACTAATTATGTTGAACTACATTAATTTTTGTTTCATTCCTATTTCTTTTATATCTCTAATTTATAAAATAAAAATTCAAAAATAGTAAAATCTTGTTATCGAAAGGTTAGACTTTTTATTTTTAAAATTTTAATTTAAAAATTTAAATTTTCTAAGTAAAATAAATAATATTTTAATTTTTGATCAGATAGACAATCAAAACAGGTGACATGGGGTCATGCTCACATCTTTTTTAATAAAATCGCTAAATAACTATTAGTTAAATAGAAAAAAGTATTTTTTCATTAAAAAATAAGATTAAGTATCATTTAAGTAAATTTGGAGATGGAGAGTATGTTTTTACTTTTTTTAAGCATTAAATAGTTTAAATCATTTAAAGAAGTTAAGTTTATTTTTTACTTTAAGATATTTGACTCAAAACTTTTTTATTTGGATACCTTTTATTTTCCAAAAATATAAATAAGAGAAATCTTTTCTATAAACTTTTTGAAAAAAATTAAATAGTTGAAAATTATTTAAAGCAATTAAATTAGTTTTAAATTTAAGATATTTGACTCAAAAGCTTTTTAAATTGTAGAAACGGACGAGATCCAAATCAATTAAGAAAAATAATTCAATCGGACAAAAATCTATCGGTAGAAAAGTCCTGCATCTTGTCCATTTCTACTATCCACTGTCCAATTGTCAAATCTTTCAAAGTGAGTGATAGCAGGACTTGATTGACAGCAATAAAATTTTTTATAATTTTTAGAAAGCCAAGCTATTTAAATGGTTAGTTTTTAGCAAAATTTCAGGTTAATTATCTAATTTTAAAAATTTTAGAATATATTTATTTTGTATTAAACTCACCACTCAAACAACTTGGGATGACATGCTGTAAATGTTGACTATGACTTGAACTATTATTCTAATAAAAATCCTTTTTCACTTTCTCTTGCTCTCCCACACTAATGGTACCCCTTTATTGTGACCACCAAGGCAGCAGCCAAGTCCTGCCACGTCTCGTATATTGCCATCTGTACCCGTGAATACTTGAGATTTTTCTTTTTAGTGTCTTCTATTACTATTTTTATACATTTTTTTTAATTTATTAATTTTATTTTTTCATGTTAATTTTTTGTGCATCATGTTTTTTTCTTTGTTCAAATAATAGTTTGATATTTTAATGAATAATTTTTTTAAAGAAAAATTTTATGTATTTTTTTGGACTTATAGGTCACGTGACAATTACATATAATGAGATTTTTTTTATTTGTATTCAATATTATCCTTTTACATTTATATATTACTTTATTATTGTTAATTTTTATAAAAAAATATAATTTTTGTGATATTTTGATAGTATCAATTTTTATTTAATTTAAACAATTTATTAATTTCATATCCTCTATAAAAATTTTATTTTAAGAATAACTATAATATCAACTTATTATTTTGAATGAATAAATAAAAATGATTTATAAAAAATTAATATACAAATGAAATTAATAAATTAAAAAAATAAATGTAAAATTTGACAATAACATAAAAGAAAATTGTCAAGTGTAGACAAGTGACAATACACGAGACAATGCAGCTTAATGATTTTTGTGGCCTGAAATCATACTTAAAACCGAGGCCTTTCATCTTTTTAATAAAATCAATATAAATTCTTATTTAAAATTTAACTTGCTCATTCGAGACGCAAAACTGCTAATTAAATTTTTATACTCCATTTTTTTAAAAATTTTTTCAATTGCTGATATGAATAATACATTTAATCTTTCTTGAGATATTGCTAATCTTAAACAAGATTTTATCAATTTTAGTTTTAAACAACTTCTTTCCATCTAATTAACACTTATAGAAACTGTTAATATAATTTTATAATCAATATATACATTAGAAAAAGATAATTGTTTTAGGAATAGAAAATTTTAATTATGAGATAAATAAGAGAAAAAAGTTAAGAGTTATGAGAAGATGATTAAGTTATAGTTGACTAATTTATATAGATAATATTATAAAACTTGAAATTTTAAGACTTAAAATTTTTGGTTCCAAAATAATCGCTTTATTGCTCTACCTTCGAGTTGACACTAATGAGATAGGGCTTGCCTATATGAGACAAGTCTTGTTTGTCAACTGTAGTCTACCAAGTGTAAACAAGACAATGCATGAGACATCACCTTTCTGTCAAGTGTAGCCTCTCAAGTGTAAATAATTGATTATATATGAGATACCGCCTCCCTGTCAAGTGTAAATAGAAGACAATATATATGTTAAAAGAGACACCACATATTTAACAAGTGTATACAGTTAACAACATATGATATAGCGAAGCATGTCAAGGGTAAACAGAGGACAATATATGTGCCAAGAGAGACATCACGTGTTTATCAAGTGTAAACAGTTATTAACATATGATGTCATACCCTACTCTCCTTTTCAAAGTAAGACATGACAGTGGGATAGTAATCAACATACTACCGGCTAGAATTTTGGCAACATACCGGTCACTATAACTCTATCACATGTTGCTCTATGGGCTCTATATCTAAGTACATATTTAACTTAAGCAACATATCAATATATATATATATATATATATAGGCTGCGCAAATGTCATTCAATATATGACTAAAACATAATGTCATCCTGTAGCAAAGTTTGTAACTAACACTTGACATTTATTTAACACCTATAGCATGCTCAACAACTATATAATTTATCACATAAAATTAACTGCACATCATCAAATAAATTTCTAAATATTTAGAAGTCCATACATCCATTAATAACTATTTAATACGAAAATTTGTATATTGCATGTCCTATAAAATACATGTACAATCAAATCAAAAATCCTAAAGCTTGGCCCAATTTGGCGGTATGAAGTGTAACAAAAAGTACGAGTTGTGTGTGACTCTAAAGCCCAAACTAGATGGCTCAATATTTGTAGGGAAAAAAAATTGGGTGAAACTGGAATCCTTGTGAATAGTAATCTAACTAAACTTAGTAAAAACAGTCAGAGTTCTTAATTATGTCACTCATAAGCACGTTTTATGGAATCGTTCAAGTATAATATATAACATAAAAAATTTATCATGAAATTATAGAAGTTATTGTCACGTTGCAAAGTTGAAATCCTTATAACAATATCAAGCAAGAACCATTAAAAAATCATAAATAAACATCAACTCAACATATATACATAAATGTATGTAGCTCTGGTCAGATGTGCAAAACCAAAAGTGTCTGGAGCAGTAAAACCATAAACATAATCTAGGTCCTCACTAAGTAAAATATAAACATGTCAGGCGCTACTATACTGTGTAGCCTGTACTGGGGGTCCTCACTCCTCGCCCAAACTAACACAGTCTTTGACGTCTAGTTCCTCAACTAGAAAAATAATCATGCATATATCATGAACTGCAAGTAGAACGTCCACCTACTCCAGATGGTTGCTTGACATCATAGTCTAGGTGCCGAAACACCAAGTCCTCATGAACTCATAAAATCATGAAATCATATGTATATACTTGAATTAAGAACATAACTGAATTGTTTCCCCTTATTATAGTATGAACATATGAACGTGTTTCAAAATAGGCTTTAGTTGATATAAAACATATTTAGAAAATATACTAAGATTAGAAAAATGTCACTCACTATATGCAGAAGGCCTAGATGCAGGGTCTTAAAGTTGATGACTCGAGGTTTGGATCAATTAAGTTTTCCTTCCCTATAGGTGAGACACATGCATATGTGAGAAAAGCACCCTAAGTAAAAGTATCCTAAATGCAGAATATAATGGTGTACAAATGCTTTAGTTTTGTGTAGTTGTCTAAAATCTCTCCCTCTCTTAACCTTTGAGCTTATTTTTTAGAAACTATACTTTTACCCTTTTATAGGACCTTATTATATTAGGGTTTTAATGCACTTTCTTTATCTCAACATTATTTTCCCTATTTTCTCTCTATTTTCAACCATAAGAACAACATCAATATTTACAAATCTGCCATGAAATGCATGTATTCTCTCAAGTAAGACAAGAGCTATTTTAACCAAATCTAATAAAAATCGTGCGATTTCTTCTTGTGGAAGAGGTTCAACCATCCCTTCTACAACAACAAATCATCACTAAACAAAATATTTTAAACCAATTAAAAGCTATAAAATATAGAAGAGAAGCCAAATATGCAAAAATGTCGAAAAAGTATATGAAGGGTTGAGGATCTAGCAATTTCTTAGATTTTCTTCAATTTTCTCTTCTTTTCTC